ACTTGAAGTAGCACCAATATGGAATATTGAGCTTTTATTTATATTTACTGAAATGTCCCAATTTGTGCACCATTCGACCATGTTATTGATGGCCTGCTGCAGAGCATCTTTTGGGTTGTTTCAGACTGCCGCACTGACTGCAGCAGACTGCAGCAGACTGCAGCTGACTGCACTGACTGCAGCAGACTGCAGCAGACTGCAGCAGTCAGTGCGGCAGTATGAAACAAGCCTTTGATTGTTCTTTGGTTATCCCTATTGTATATACCATAAATTTTGATATCGTCGGCATACATGAGAACATGTATGTCAGGATGAGTTTTTAAAATCTGGGGTAACTCAGCAGTATAGACTAGGAATAGTAAGGGTGAAAGAGCACCGCCCTGCGGAAGCTCGCTTATACAAGGAAAACGTCCAGAATGATCTCTCCCCACTCGAACCGTCATATACCTGGAGTGCAGATACGATTTTAGCCAATCAAGCAAGGATCCTCTAATACCATAATGCTCAAGCTTGTGCAACAATTTACCATGACTTACACGATCAAAAGCTTTCGACAAATCGAAACATATAACATCTACTTCTTTCTTATCAAGATATGACTTGATCCAGTCATGACTACAATCTATTAGTTGGGTTACTGTGGATGCACCGCTGACAAACCCATGTTGTTCCGCGGGTATGAAATTGAACCTTTCCAGCCAAGAGAGAAGTTTGTCACGGATAATTTTTTCAAGGACTTTACATGGTACTGGATTTATGTTTATAGGTCTAAACTCTGCCACAGATTGAGGTTTGGTAACTTTCGGAACAGCAGTGACAATTGCTTCTTTCCAGATGTCAGGTATTTCACCACAAATGAAACTAATATTGAAGATATGTGACAAGGGGAGCGAAAGTTCTCTTGCACAACGTTTGAAGACAATCTGGGGAATGCCGTCAAAGGTTCAAATGTAGAATGCTTTAGAGTTTTGAGAAAGTTTTCGACAGTAGAAATGTAGTACTAATTTCTCTACATGTCTATACTTCTGGCTAATCTCAACGAAATTGAACAAAATTGCTGCAATGGGTTCAGTTTTGTCACTTCAGTGTTCGTGTAAAAAAACACCCTCTAAAACCTTGTAGATTTCTGTAGGTATCACTCTCAACCTTGCCTTTTGCTATGGTAAAAGTTTCTATTGAATGTACCTTAAGGTGAAGGCATCAAGTTTGATGAATACGGATTTATCGCTGATAAGGCAACCTTGAGGTAGAATTCACCTCAAAGTATCATCCATTCCACATAAAATCATTTTCAAAATTGATCTAACCCTGAGCATTTACCTCAAGGTACATTGATGAATACGGGTTTTGAGTGATAATCTTACCTCAAGGTTCATTTTACCTCAAAGTAGCAATGATGAATACGGCCACAGGAGTAACGATTTTGAATAAAATTCCTGCCGTATAGAAAAGGAGGTTTAGCAGTAGCAACGGATAAAAAACACAGATATATGCATGCTTTGAAGGTAAGTTAATGGAGTGTGGCACTCCTCAAAAGAGGTGAAACAGCCACAGCTTTTCTGTGGCTATGCTACACTCCATTAACCTACCTTCAAAGAGAATTTTGCGAACAAATTATGAACAGTTCGATAACCAAAATCTCGTAGTTCTAACAAAAGTGTTTAGAGGAGTCATCTTCTTTTTTGAGCATTAGTTGCTTCAAGGACAGACCAATGTAAGCAAAAGAGACAAATGAGATTTTGGCTAGCTCCAAATTCCATGGTTTGATGGTTGTGGAACAGAATCATGGAATAGGCAAAAAGGGAGTAGGTCTTTGCACTGAGTGCAAAAAGAAATAGTGAGTTAATTAACTCATTTTAGAAATATAGTAACCAAATTTGAAAATGGCCACTTTACTTGGGTGGCCCAATGTTGGCAATCCTCAGAATTCGCTAAAAACTTGGTTTGATAATCACGAAGATGTTACTACCCTAAAATCTCGCAGATAAGTTCGCCATCACATAAGTTTGCCCACAGATAGTCCGCTTCTTTTCCCAGATGAAAAACGGAAGGGTGCGCAATTGCGATGCCTTTTTTGGTCACAAAATAAATCAAGCAACAGAATTGAATTGAGAATGCAACAGCAAGAATGAGAAAGCAACAGAAGAAAGCTAGAAGCAAGAATTGAGAAAAAGAACAAGGAAGTCTAATGCTTTGGTAGGGTTGAGCGTTTTCAGACTGTCACTCTTCCGTTCATTAAAGCATTCGACAAAAGCCGTAGTGAGAAAACAAAGCATTTGACAAAAGCGGTATGGCGTGGGTCAACAGAGACTATGTTCAGACCATGTAAACAATAGAGGAAGCAAAAAGTATAGGCAGCCAGGTTCAAAGTTGTAGCCTCTACAGGTTCGAGCAATGTATTGAGAACAATGTCGCTTTCGAAATGAGATACAAAAAAACTGATGATAAGATGAGATGATACAATGATGATACCTATTATGATTCTTTTCATCGGCAGAAACTCAATTTCGTACAAGCACTGTCATATCTAGGAAAAGAACTCACCTATCCAGCTTATGCGATGACGAATCCGCGACGATACTGCCAGCAAGTAGTCTGCTGACAGTATCGTCGAAACTACTGAAAGAAAGAGCCAAAGGCTTGTCGAATCCTTTGGTTCTTTCAGGCGATATCGCGGCCTTGTTTGAATCTACACCGGCAAGCTACGCGGGTGGTCGCGTGCGTCTGTGCTCCTAGATAGCTCTCGCAAATGCTCAAGGCAAACGGACTTATTTGATGGCGGACTTATCTGCAAGACTTTTGGCAGCGCGAGGGCGATTCTTCATCGATTTTTCGTGTCAAAAAGGTGGACTGATCTGCGAGATTTTAGGGTTATGCTTGATAGAACCTCAATGTCTTGTCTACGGGAGGCGAACAATGCAGGGGGGGGGGGGAAGGAGGAGTCGTAACCGTTGGGTGAGTGCCACACCTCTTGCTTGACCCTGGTTTTTACTTTACGGGCCACGTTTGTGAATAAGCTCAATCGCTTTTCGAAATAACTTCTACTCTCAAAGTATATTTAGCTCGAGGTCAAGCCTGCTTGTGGTTCATGGATACGGTTTCATGCTTTCGGAAGTAAAACTTACCCTAAAGATTAGGGTTTACCTTCAAAGCTCGTTGATGAGTACGGTCACTAGTATACGACGTAGAGACCGCTACCTTGTTTTCGATATAGTTGAGTAGAGAAAATCATTAAGAGAAGAAAGGATGTGAGGAATACGTGGGTACAGTCACTCCACTCCTTTGGCCGCATTTGGTCAGTTGGTTCAGACAGCCAACTGAGAACTGGCGAGCTCATCCAGCTCCTTCAGCAATTTCCAAGGGCGAAAAAGCCATAAAAGCACTTTTCTGACAACTTTATGAAATATCAAGCACAGTAATTGATTTGGTGTATCCAGTAATCTAATGAGGGATGGAATTTCGCGGTCGTATCTTCCGAGCTGCCTTTGAGGAAATCTCAGTACTACAAGCACGCTCCGAAAAGTCCAAAGTAAAACAAATCATCACAGTGCCAAGAAGTACTTGCAAGGTTTACAAGCCTATAGATGGAGCTCGATAATTAAGATTTATCAGAGCATGCCTACTATTGTACTATTTTTGCGATTGCGATTTTACAGGGAATGGCTGGTAATATATTCATCAATGCCAAACACTGGGTGGAAGCGATTTACTGCCACTAGGCTCCACCTTCGCACTTACTGGAACAGATTACATTCCCAGTAATGCATAGTTCGTAAGTTCCTGACAATGAACCTGAAAGCCAGCCCGGTTCCATATCTTCATCGGCATGGATAGTGCACGCGTCAAGGATTCAAGAAGTCAGAATAACTCTTTTTTGCATCTTCGGACTCCCTTTTTACTTTTAGCTCATGTGCTCTTTTTTCATTTTCACTGAACGTAACCTTCATAACGTCAAGATAGAATAGCGTCTTCTTGCGAAAATTGGTCTGCAAAATTTGGTTTGATGTTTAGTCAAGGCCAATGGATTTTTGAATCTATTTTTTGATTCTTGCTTAGTGAATAAATGCTTTAGTCAGGTTGCCTCTGGCCGCCTTCACGCACTTTCAATTATATACACTATGATGCAGAGCTTGGCATCTCAGCCGTGTAGAAATGTCAAGAGTTTTTGCACGTAAGATTTTTCTGAATCTTATGTCTGTCGTTAACTCCTGAACAGAAGGTTTGTAATTCAGAGTAATGAACTAGGATAAAGTCACAAAAATGGTCTTGAAATACAAGAAAACTCGGGGCTAGGAGGTATTTAGGGCTTGCATTTAACCCTGTGTCAAAAGATATACATCAATAAGAGTCCCATTAATGCGGTAACTCAGGGCCAAAACTGCGCAGTGAAGCTATGTCTGGAGAACGATGAGCGATGACGCAACCAAGGATGACCTAAAGCAACGAAGCGCTAAGTAGATTAGCAAAGTGTGCAGAGCAAAGGATGACCAATGAGGGAAGCGGAGTATAAGCGTATTTGTTTCTATGAAAATCTTCCGTTGCCCACGCGGGCAATTGAACCATAATCCGGACGGGGCAGAGGCTGGTTACTTCCGAATAATATGCAACTTAACTTGGACAGATACAAATTCACGGTTTGCAGCAAATATTGAAAAAATGCTTTTAAAATCGCTCCCATTAAACACTGTAACAGGCGATAGATGAGAAATTAACTTGTGAATATTTACATCTATGTCTTTCTTAACTTAAACTGCTGAATACTATTTACATTTTAATCATTTTCACATCAAAAAAATCTTCGCGATTGTCTTATTAGTAGTGGTGTTGACGAAGTTCGATAGTTGCATCACTCGCGAGACCTACTGCATCATTCCTTTTTGTCAATACAAGTTCCACAAGACGCCACATATGCGTGCGGTAGCAAATCATTGGAAGCTGGAAAAACTCTTCGAGACAAACTTCACATAACGAGAAAAATGCGTTCCTCCTATTACTTTTCGCATCGCTCTATCAGTCACGTCGCGCTGAAGTTTGTAGCTCCACTCGTTCGTATAAATACTTTCGTACACTGCCGCTATTATTTGGAAACATGAAAAGGCTCGTTATCTCTGGTTGTCTTGCCGTGCTGCTGCTAGTTATTTCACTCGTTGTAGCTGTGATCGTCATGCTTAGGGAGGTTCACACACTTCAAACAGAGGTACAAGCTGGAATGAAGGAACTCAAGGTAAAGAAACTGTCTTCAATTCTTTATTTTATAATTTTGATGTCAAGGTAACGGATGAGAACTGGAATCACATTGCCCTCAAACTTCTGCGTTCCAATGAACGTCGAGCAGTCTGTAACCAAGATATGTGCTGCAGCAGAGAAGAACCTCAGCCGCAATATTTAGACGAAGACGATGAGAAGAATGGCCCTGCGAAACCTGAATATGATCCCTACTGGTGATTAGCAAAAGTTCAGAGTCTAAAAGAGCACTTTTTCATAACAACACTCTCCGTGTCACAGGAAAATCGATGACGCACATAAAAAAGAAGCAATCTGTGCTTACAATGGCCGCTCATTCGAAGAGAAGAGAACGAATTTGGAGCTGCCACTTTAGATAGACCGATGTGGATTAAAAAGGTTGTATCACTTTCTCTAATGTGACATTTAGAAAATGTCGTAATGCTGTGTTACAACGGCGTAACACAGGTTGAGTTTTCAAAAAAATTAACTATCTTCATTTCTTGTTCTTTCCTTTTAAAGCGTTCTGTTTACTATTTTTGCAGCATATCTTCTTGTATAAGATTTGGAAGAGGTGTTAAAAATTGTGCTCATAATAGCCATAATGGCTTTGAGGAAGATTAAGAGGCACCTTGCGATCTCAGTTGACACTCGGCTCACGAGAATAGCGAACGCGAATTTAAACGTTTTGCAAACAAATCAGAACAAAGACGTAACTTCCCAACGATGAGTAAACACCTGGAGCCGAGAAGCAGACGAGGCAGCAAGGCGAGGTTCTGTAACAGCACGCCTAACCAAAATCTCTCATCGCTTATCTCAGGTGTTCATGGTGCACGTACCGAAAGTTATGAAAATAGAATTTACTTTTATCAGTTTCCTGAGAAGTGTTACGCAAAACGCCAGTCAATAAAGAGTGTATGAAGATGCGAAAGAGAAAACAAAATAGCAAGTAGAAAAGTGGTAAGAAAAGAAGATCAGTGAAATTTCGTAATCATAAGCAAACTCCATGTAAAACTTTCCAGCAAATAGGTTGTTTTTACATTTACATTTATTCATAATCAACGGTCTACAATAAAAACCGTGATGATTTCGGGTAAAGCTTCATTAGTTGTGGATGTAGACGTACTTCAAGATATCGCTCCACTGACGAAGATCCATGACTTCTTTTTGCCAGCTGCAAGTCCAGAGTTTAAGAGTTCGGTCTGGGCTCGCGGATCTGTCTTTGACTTCCGTGCAAGGATCACCGGTAGCCATGGTTTCTTCCACCGGATACTCCTTCTCTTCTGTCCTTGATCGTTGGAATAGGTCAGAGCCGAAAACTAGCCGACCACTCGCAGGAAGAATGAAGATAGAAGTGATAGGTTGTTTAACCAACTCAATTTCCCATGATGCGATAGAGGGAGTAAAATATTGTACAATGTAACTACTATGAGTAACTTGAGTAGTCGATACTGTTCACGTGAGAGTGAAAAAAATTATTCAAGATGTGGCCACTCGTGATATCCAACTCTGAGTCATATCCAAGAAATTCGGAGTTTTCAAGTAAAATCGCAGTTTACAGATATTCGAGTACTACCATGTATGTTTCTACAATGACCAAGTTGAAGGTCGGTAGGGTTTTTCTCCGTAAGAATCCAATTTTTATATGATAAAATTTCTTTTGATTTTGGCTCCAAACTTCACCTGTATTAAGAGTTAGACGTATCTTTGGCGGTCATTTTGTGGAGCTTGCTTCGCTCTATCGATTGATACCCTAACACAAGAAGATCGGCTTGTTTTATTCAGAAATACGGTTTACTTTTGGGACAACCTAGTACAATAAAAAAGGTTTTGGTGCCTTGTTGATTAATTCCAAGTGTATTTAGTTGAGCTACGATAAGCTGCGATAGTTTGATAGTGTATTGAACGAGAATATGAGTGAATTGTTTGATTGAGGAAATGATACAAAACTCTCTTCAAACATGTATCTGCTATCTCAACTAAATACTCTAAAGCTGGCCAACAAATGCTAAGGAATGTTTTGTCCTAATTTTCATAATACGTTTCGACGAGACGAAAAGGAGTCATAGATATGTGTTTGTTGTCACAATGGTATCACTAGGACTGAGTGGTTCGAGAGATGTCTTTGTACGACATGTCAGGGTAAACTCAGCCTTGCTATGTTGAATTATTTAAGAGCCACGTTCGCGAGTATAGATTAATCGTTTGGTGTAGAGCTACGTATACTCTGTGCTTTGCAAAAACGGCTCTGAAAACCCTCCTTTGAGTGTAAAATCCACCTTCAAACTTAGGGTTTACCTTTACGTTTCTTGAATACGGCCACGAATGTTCAAACCGGTGCACTTCAATGTTCTGCCAACATTGAACGATTGAGTTGAATTGTTACGATCAACTTCGGAAAAACATGTACCTTGTTTTTATATTTATGAGGCGCAATTATTTCCTTCTGTCAACGTTAGCACACCATAAAAACTCGCGACCAACTTTTTAACAAGAGGGATACAAGATAACTACCTTTCTCGTTTCGCTAGACACAGCGATGCCACACGCCTGTTCGAACTCAAAGACAGCGATCACCCAAGTCTGGCGGATGGAGCTCAACTCTCAGCTCCTCAGCTCAAGAACTTTAAAAAATCGATTCATAGTAAAGGCAATTGTTTTTTTTCTGAAAACTGATATTGGATTCGTAAAAATGTATTCACTTATGTCCTTTATAAATTTCCAACTCTTCAAGTCAAAGTCTGCAAAACGGTTGAATCGATCTGCATCGATAGCGAAGAATAGTCTATGACTCCGCCCGTAGTGATGGTACGGTCCGAATCGGCTCAGAAATGAAATTTTTTCGAAACATAAACACATTCAGATCGACAGTCAAACAGCCAAACAAACAGAGAAACATTTAGCTTATACAAGATGTAGGATATAGCACCAAGACGAACAGTCGAGTAGTGTCTGACGAATCTTTGGCATCTCTTACGCACCTTTGCAGTTTTCTCGAGATATCATGATTTGTCATTTTTCTATATACTCTCTTTATTTTTCGAGATGTTATAACGTTCTCTACGTGACATATATAGATGACAACGAGACAACCAGACAGTTTACACTAAGCAATCATTTACTACTTACCTATGTCACAGTGTTTTATAAATAGAACTAACGCACACCTTTGTGTACAACTTTCTTATGTTAGTAAAAGTGGCCACGCAACTACAAAAACACATCCCATTATCGCAACTTTCATCGCTCTTCTTACAAACATTTTCAATTACTTTGAGCGAGATGTTGCACGAGAAATCTAGAGGAAAACAAACCTGAACGTGTCCAACTACCTTCTACAACAAGCCATTTATTGCACGTTGATTGCAAGTAATAGCTGAAAACCACATTTCTACTTTCGTTTCAAAACCAGCGTTAGTCAAATTGCTCAGTCATAGCATTGCCGACCTGACTGCAAACTGTGACCGGTTATGTGAACGAATGAACACTGGTAGCATATAAAGGAAAATTCGCACGAATGGAAAGAAGTCCCGCCAAAGGTATTAAGTTGGTGCAAAAGTAATCCGCGTTTTTCTAGCCCTTCTTTCAAGACAACTTTTTTACATCAAACTCTTTCTTTGGCAAAAACCTAGCATATTATCAGGAAGCACTTTTCATGCACTATCCAACTTTGTTTGCAACGGGCTTCTAGCCTCATTTGTTAGAAATTTATGAAGCTACACACAACCACACTTGAAACCAGAATTTTCATTTCATTTACTTTTCTGGCCAGAATTCAAGCGCGATTGAAGGCATTCTCTTGAAAATTCAGCTTCTGTATTAAATGGAAATTGTCTGCATTATGCATACTTAACCATAACCTGAGATTATCTAAGCTGAGAAATCGACACTTCAACATGGGTAGGTAGTCGTTGCATTCATTTTGATCGGGCGGACCCTGGTGGGGATCCCTTTTCCTCCCCTCCCCGTATACACAAATGTAGCTCAACGGCGCGGGGGAGGGGATCGACATCCCTTGCAACGGAGTAGGGGTTCGATGGTGTAGATCATGTTAGAGAAGCGAATATTCTGGTTTTAATCAACTATTACCGGTTCAGTCGGTATAGCTGTCAATCCGAAGGTTCCGGGCATACCTCTCGGTGTTGAGCACACCGATGCACACTCTGCCGACTGGTGTGCAACTACTACATATTTGTGTAAATGCTACTACACCGTACGGCTGATCCATGAAGAAGAAAGCTGCCTTTTGATTCAATTGTTATATACTATGTGGTAGACTGCGTCTGTTTCAGTGGTTATTCATGGTACTAACCATTCCATTTGTTGAGTTAACCACTCACTCATATTGATTGATTGTTGTAGCGCACAACATGTGCACGAAATAAATAAATAAATAAAACTATTACCAAGCAATTCGTTCAATTTGATGAAAGATTTCCTTTGAAAGCCGGATTCCCCTCTCAGCGACCTGTAGCTTGCACTCTTGTCCCTCTTCTAAATTCCCCTCTTGAAAAGAAACCCAAGCAATAATAGCTGCCATTCTCGAACATTTGTAGGAGTTCTTGATCATTCAAAAATTCGCGCATTTTTCAAATGACATAATAGTTTTAGCCAGATAGGCTGATCAGATGCATTGTAACTATCGTATTACATGATATATTGCTCCAACCTTGTTAATTTAACATAAGCTGCCTTGAAAAAATCTAGAAAATAGCAGATTTGCCCATTTCTGAGTAGTGATCCCCTGGGGAGTGATCTCTTCCCCGGCATTCCCCTCGTGCATAGCAGGGATGGCCGCTGAGGATCATTCCCTTGGAGGAATGGACGGCATGTCGCTAATAGCCACAGCTTCCATGAAAAGCTAGCACGATTTGCAATTTCTTTTATGTGTGGAAATTCTAGTTTGAATCTCTGCGCCACCCTCCCCCCCCCCCTTTTCGGTAGCATAACATATTCTACTCATTCATTGTAGAAACATCATGACTTCTAATTTTGGACACTTTTACGCTGAAATGTGCAGCATTAGCGAAAGTGAGCAACATCCTTGAAAATAGCAAAAATATATTGTGCATAGAAATTTTTTTTGCTGCGCCGAGCGCAATCACGGGCGATGGCATTCCGCAACGGGTAAAATATTGCCGATGACATGCTGGAGGCGAGTAGCTACCAAAAGATGAGAAAAGAGCAGTGATTACCACAAAAAGGGGAAACGAAATGATTTCCCCGCTCGATCCTCCTTTCTGCATAAGGGGGTTCCCTTCCCATACTTCCAGGGGATCCCCTCCCCGGTATTGCCCTTGTGCATACGGGGGTTCGCGTGGGCAAGGGAGGGGAGCCCCAGCGGGAATCATTTCAATGGTTAAGCGCACATTCCCTCCCCGCGGGGATCTACGTGCATACGGGCCTAATATGTTTCGGACCGGTGCTGCACGTGGTGCAGCACGCTGCTCCAAAAGATCTTTTTAACGTTTACAGAAAGTTTTCTTCTAGTCCAAGGTTGTCAAGTCGAAGGCCTAAGCTTCTATTTCTCAAATGACTTTGTAGAGTTGTGCCGCCTGTATTTATTCAGGAGATATAAACACAGATCGAACGACAGTTGCAACGAAGTGCGGCGACGCGAAAGACGCGTGCAACGTCGCAACTATTCTTTGCTTCGATATCAAAGAGAAGAACTGTAGTTTCAATGCTGATGTGTACCGTTTACAACATAGATACTTTTGGATACTATTAGAAACTGAGTTATTGTTCCTAGCTTTTAGGAAAGCACAGAAGTTCTTCTCAAGCGACAAAATTTAAACACTTCCAATTCACTCGGAACTTTGGGTATGGAACTTATCTGACAAGCTGATTACAGATGTAGCACATAGTCTACGAAATAAGGTCCCTTTGTTGGCTAATGGCTGAAAGTGCACTCTTTTTCGCCGCGCGCGATTTTGCGGTCCGAAACGTGTTAAGGAACACAGCTTCAGCTTGAAGCTTCCTTGGGAACTACTGACGAGGGGCACCAAGGAAGCCGCACTACCGGTATTCTAAGCCCCGAAAAACCGGATAGTGTAGAAAATGAACAAAAAGGAATTGAATTTCTTGTGTTCCTAATTAGTATTTATCAAATCCTTTTCATATTAAAACCACAAAACAAGTTGTTACAGGAACAGGATGTCCCAGAAGTGTGTATACACATGTATATCGTTAATATCTCTTCCTAAGAAATCTTTTCCTTTAAGAACCACTATGTTGATCTGGCTTGAACTCAGGTTGGCATAATGGAGCGAGTCACCTATCGCCCATTGCTGTAGTGCTACGGTTACTGTCAGCACAACAATGTTGTGAATTGGCTGCTGTTTCTGTAAATTTTCAAAGATAAAACTTGAAAAGTTGTTTAAAAAAGTTATTGAGCAGAGCTACTATGTGAT